AAACGCTACAAGCAGCTTGCTTGGGTTCAAGCGGAAGCCATGATCTTCCCGTTCGCTGCTTTCAACTCTAGCTTGGACCGGAGTTTCCCTTCGCTGTTGCAAACGGAGCCGCTCGAGTTCCATCTCGTGCTGCCGCTGCCGTTCCCTTTCAGCCATCTCCGCTTCTCTTTCTTCTTTCAGCTGTCGCTCCCTCGCTTCTCTTTCTTCTTTCTGTTGTCGCTCCCTCGCTTCTCTTTCTTCTCTCGCCCTTTCGGCTGCTAACTTCTCTCTCTCCAACTCCAACTTCAATTGTTGCTCTCTTTCTTCCTTCGCCCTTTCAGCGGCCAGCCTTTCTCTCTCCAACTCAGCTGCTTTTTCTTCCTTGGCCCTCTCAGCTGCCAACCTCTCTCTCTCCACCTCAGCTTCTTTTTCCGCTTTGGCTCTTTCGACCGCCAACCTCTCTTTTTCCAGCTCGGCTGCTTTTTCTTCTTTGGCTCTCTCTTTTTCTTCTTTTTCCTTCTGGGTGACCCACTTCCGTAGTTCGACGCCAGAAAGACCCATCTTTTCACCAAGAGTAACTAACTTTTCGAGATCCATTGTGTCTCGCAACTCGCAAATAAAACCTTGCCGCGTGGAAAAAGTATCTGCCTAAATCAGTCTACCGGAACACTCCCCTGCACTCGTTAACGAGAACACTGAACAACACACAAAATCGTTCCGATAGCACTATCAACAACTCGAGGCTCTTTCTCACTACTTTGGACACACTGTGCACCAAAAGGTCCTGTATCGCGGACGCCAGATTAATTGTCACACCGGTCCCGTTAATTGGGGAGGCGATCGCCGGGCTAATTCCAAGAGCCGAAGTATCGGCCCCCGAACCGCACCACGAAAGCGTGGACAATTTAGAAGTGGTCCTTATTGGTGCGCCAGCGGACGCCGGCTGTGGCCCAAAGAACAAGACAGAGCCGAGAGTTGATAAACAAACAAATTATATTCTCAATAATGGCAGATCGAAGATAATACACAAAAATGCACACTCCACAATAGTTACATACAATACGTCACCAATCAGACAACGTACTACACAGTACAATCAGCCACACTCAAAACAACTGACACAGACAACAATACGCACTACAATGCAGTCGCATGCATTGAACAACCAAGACACTTAAGGACTAAAGAGATAGAAAACCTATTCAGTCCAAAGTCCTTGGAACAAAAGTCTGAATGATACTCTTCCGAGAATCACTCACTCAAAGTCCAGCGTTGTTGTCGTTCCGTAGTTCTCGAAGTTTCTCTTCCAGGAAACCTCGCGTCCTCAAATGGCCACTCTCCAAGCTTCAAACTTCTTCGCCGGAAATCCGTCGGCTTCACACACGCAGCTGTTGCCCGCGTCTTCGCTCGATAGCGGTAAACCCACGCTCTTGCCTGTAGCTCGAGCCGTCCCTACGGACCAAAAACTTCGCCGACTACACGGCGGAATCTCTACGCACTCTGGCGCTCACTTCCGTCTCCTCCTGTTCTGTCACTACGGGCAGAACCTTCGCCGACTACACGGCGGAATTCCTACGCGCTCTGGCGTTAACTTCCGTCACCTCCTGATTTCTCGTCTCGGCTGCTCGGTTAAATACCTTGCGCGCGACTTTACAGATGTTTCTCGTCATTTCGTCGGCGCGATACGCAGCGAAGGCTGGGGAGAGGCACGAGACGGTTCGACTGCCCTCTCCCGAGGATGATTCACTCGGTCTGACCCCGCCTCCTTCGTTCGAGAAAAATCGCGGTCTTGCTGGGCCGCCGATGTGGGGTGAGGAGGATCGTCTGCGAAGCCGTGCTTCTGCGGGGAGAGCGCGCGCCCGGGAGCCCTGGATGTTTGCTTTCTTTTTTTTTCTTTTTACCTCGCGGCGTTTCTGCCGCCCGTTGTCGCAAGTATTTGGCGGCGCGCTCTTGTTTAGCGCTCGTTCTGTGACAGGAGCACTCCACTACGGAGTCTCGCATAATCAAATGGTGGTTTTGAGACGTTAAATCTCACATATGAATCAATCAATCAATAAATCAATCATTCGATCAATCAAACGGAATGACCACTGGGACACCGCGGTGTACCAATTACCGAACAATCAACGACATATTGAAAGCGAACATTATCAGCGCTGTATGCGGTATGAACTGTTGAAGGAAATTAAGTCCTCTTTTTTTTGGAAAAACACATTTCCATACAGCTGCAGACAGTTCCGTTGTTTCGTAAACAGACACACCATCCATGGGACTGCTTACCACTCGATGATTTTGTTTGCTACTTCTCATTGAATTTTTCTTTAGCTCTGCACGATCCTATAGCGAACAAACGCGGGATATCTTTTTATTTACGCAAATTGCCATAACAATAAAAACAGTGTAGGGCCTACGTAATGCATGTTACGACACATTAGTTATACAACATCAAGTCAAGGTTGCTTAAACGAGGGATTACATTTTAGTGAACATCATTTGCACACTAACGCCATTCGTTGTAACAGCCTAGGACATTTAGTACCTGCACGCGGACCTCCTTCAAGGAAATTCCTATATTGTACCTACTTCCGTTTTGCAATGTGTGTTGTAACTCCCGCATGTAACAGTTAATCTTACAGCAGATATAAAAAAACTGATAACAGGTAAAACGAATTCAGCCAATGCTCCTCTCTCCTCATTCCTTAAAATCTGCTCATATGCGAGCAAAATATTTCACACAGGCTGCAACTCAACTGAGGCATTCGCACAGCAGGCATTCTTCCTATGGTACGCAATATTTGTGATACGCACAATCCCGTATATTAGCAAGCTAACAAAAATGACCTACAAAAATAGTTTTTTCACGTCTGGAAACTGCCCAATCGCTCACTATGAGCGCCATTGTCTTTAACGTGAGCGCTTTGCGCAGAACGTGAGGGCTCCCTGTTTACTATAGAACGTGTTCTTTGGCTAGTTGGTCCGAACTGAACGACGCTGTCCACATAGACGAAAGAAAAGAATGGAAGAGACGGGTTGTGGGTAGCATCCTCGATATTTCTTGAGGTCGCCCTACTGCATTTTAGCCCTACTAGACCATGCGGTCACGGTGCTTTCATAAGAACCCACAACCTCGTGCTAATATAGCGCCAAAGACAAAGCAAGTTACCTAGGCACTGTAATTCATATATCTACGTTTACATTTGGTTTCTCACGGCATAAATGTGTCTCTCATAATTATATGTTGGTTTTGGGACGTTGAATCACACATAAATCTCACGGCATAGACGGTGTTTATTGGCATCGTTCTCATTGCGCATGCGCCGAGCGCATCTTCGGGAGGGGGCACTGTACAAGTCGTCGTTGAAACAATAACTCCCGAACTCTTCCAACACGCTAGTCTGAATCTGAATTCTCCGCAATGTTAACTTGTTCGGACGAATGCGCGGATAAACGGGTGACAGTCACCCGCAATTAAAACGAAAAGGAGGTAAAGAGGGGGGCTGAAACTAAAATAATGTATAACACATTCTCTGTCTCATCCTATTCAGCGTATCTCGCACGATGAATGTACTTAACAAAAAAAGAACAAAGAGGAAGAAAGGCTCAAGCGGTGTTGAGCTTCTGTCTGATGTCCTCGCTAATACCTCGCAATAAGGACGTCGTCACCTGAATGGTCGAGAAACCGCGCATAACGAGGTGTTTTCCACTCCCAAGGATCGGCCACGTGCGGGACTCTTGCCGACCAAGGCTTCGCTATACACTAGAGCGTGTGTGCTGGGCAGGCAGGCAGGCGGAGTTCGTTATACACGGGGTTCACGACCGAAGCCGCGAATGACGGGCCGCATGGCGCGCTCCGTGTACGTGACCGTTCGCCGTAATGATCGTTTGCCTCGGCTGCAGCGGCGACGGGCGCTGCCCTCCTTTTAACGAAGGCGCCGAGGTTGGGAAAGAAAAAGCCAAGTGCCACCGCAGTCTTGGATTTTCTCCTTGACCGTTATGAAGAGCTCTTCGCCTTTACGCCCCTAAAGTGTGCGAAAAAGCATACCCCTTACACTCGCTCGTTTTTTTTTTGTTTTTGTTTTTGAGCGAGGAAACGATTCAGTTGCAGTCACAGGGGAACATAAATTGAAGTGCTTAAAACGTTATTGGTATTTCACGCTGGTTTTGTTGGTGTGCGAAAGGAGTAATGTAATTTTATCACGAGAAACACGTTTATTACGTGTGAATTTCGTCGTCGTCACTTTGCAGAGCAGCCTACCGATGGAGTGTGCAGCAGGCACAGTTAACTGCAGAGGTCTTTTAGTGGGTAGTACAATCTATATTCCTGTTTCTGTTGAACCGGCAAGTCGTGATGCCAGTCATGGTAGAATTAATGATTGATTGGTTGATAGATTGATTTATTGATCGATCGATCAAGCGCGCATGTGTGTGTGTGTGTGTGTGTGTTTCTTTAATCAATATAATTCATTCCTCCTTGCTAGGCATGCGTTTTTGCATCGTGTTAAGATCATCGAGCCTTGGCACTAGAGCTACCATGCTCAATTCTAGCTTTAAATACTTTTATTAATACCTATTTATTAATTTACCAATGAGCATCATGTTACCACCACCACTTTTATCCTCTCGCGCCGTCGTTCACGCGCAGTCCCCATCCGCCTGTGCACAGGACGCCGACTTCTAACAGACGCTGTGGATGATTTTTCCGAGCTCACGATCCTATTAATGACGCAATACCGAAGAAGCGCTAAAGAAAACGGGTAACACGAGGGAAAGAAAGGGATGGCAACACGAGCAGTTGTGTTGAAACCTGCTGCTGTGACTGTTCGATCCATTGATACAAGCGGAAATATTCAAAAGGCGTAAAATAATGAGCTCAGCAGCATCCCATTCATCTTTCATATTCCAACGTGCATAAGTTTATAGAAAATGTTGTGCGCGTGGGGGCGCTCGCGAATTAATGTCACCTCTTACCATGCTTACATCGTTACTCAACAGTACCCACTCTTCACTCTTTGTTTTTCCAGTGTTGTACCAGAAGCGTCTGAAGAAGGAACGCCGGTGTCGAAGACGCATCCAGGATCAGCTTGAGCTGGAACAGAAGAAGCGCTCTCAGTACGAAGAGGTTCTACGGAACAGCGCCACCGCCGACCACCGGTCACCGCCCGTGCAATCACTGCCGCAGCCACAGCCGACGCATGCGCAGGCAACGCAACAACCAGCGCCACCTGGTGAGCTCACTATTCTCTTCTTACTTACTGACAACTGAGCTAACCGCCATGGTAGTTTCGTGGTTATAGTACTCGATTGGTGACCCGAAGGTCATGGGATCGAATCCCTGCCATGGCAGTCGCATTCGTTGGAATGAAATTGCTAGAAGACCATGTGCTTTAATTCGGGTGCGCGTTAAGTCACCCCAGGTGGTCGAAATTTCCGGACCCCTCCACTACGGCACGTCTCATAATGGTATCGTTCTTTCGGAATGTAATATCCTAACAACTACTATAAGCTCCTTTACGCCCCTAAAGTGTGCGAAAAAGCATACCCCTTACACTCGCTCGTTTTTTTTTTGTTTTTGTTTTTGAGCGAGGAAACGATTCAGTTGCAGTCACAGGGGAACATAAATTGAAGTGCTTAAAACGTTATTGGTATTTCACGCTGGTTTTGTTGGGTGTGCAGAAGGAGTAATGTAATTTTATCACGAGAAACACGTTTATTACGTGTGAATTTCGTCGTCGTCACTTTGCAGAGCAGCCTACCGATGGAGTGTGCAGCAGGCACGGTTAACTGCAGAGGTGTTTTAGTGGGTAGTACGTTCTCTATTCTTGTTTCTGTTGAACCGGCAAGTCGTGGTGCCAGTCATGGTAGAATGAATCATTGATTGGTTGATAGATAGATTCATTATTAATCGATCAATCAAGCGCGCATGTGTGTGTGTGTGTGCGTGTGCGTGTGTGTGTGTGTGTGCGTGTGCGTGTGTGTGTGTGTGTGTGTGTGTGTGTGTGTGTGTCTTTAATCAATATAATCCATTCCTCCTTGCTAGGCATGCGTTTTCGTATCGTGTTAAGATCATCGAGCCTCGGCACTAGAGCTACCATGCTCAATTCTAGCTTTAAATACTTTTTATTAATACCTATTTATTAGAGAGAGAGAGATAAAGATACAAGGAAAGGCAGGGAGGTTAACCAGACGCACATCCGGTTTGATACTCTGCACTGGGGAAGGGATAAAGGGGAGAAAAGAGGTTGCACAAAGATGAGAAGGTACACACAATCACGAGCACACTCGGTGAGCACACACAGTTCACAGGCGGTCGCTCAGGTTTGTTGACTTAAGGTAAAGAAGCAGTGCTTTAGTTGCTTTCTGCGCAACTGAGGCAGATGCCCAAGGTCCTAGTATCTTCCGCACACAAAATGGTCCGGGGTCAAGTCGATTCAAAACCATCCGTAGCTGGCATCGCTGTGTGTCGTAGCAAGCGCAGCTGCAGAGGACGTGTTCGATGGTTTCTTCATCTCCGCAGTAGTCGCATGTAGGAGTGTCCGCCATACCAATGCGAAAGGAGTACACCTTTGTGAATGCAACACCCAACCAAAGGCGGCATAACAGTGTCGCATCGGAGCGGGAAAGTTGTGATGGTAGCTTTAGCTTTAGCGAAGGATCCAGTTCATAAAATTGACACCTTTGGAAGCTGGTAGACGACCAGAACGTGCGTGTGAGATCTCGAGCCAGCAGGTAAAGTTGTCTTGCTGCATCATTCCTTGATAGAGGAATCGGGACTACACGGGTTTCTTCATGGGCTGAGCGGGCTGCATCATCGGCTAGTTCATTTCCGGTAATACCGATATGTCCAGGCAGCCATTGATATATAATATCATGCCCTCGTGCTAGAGCTTCATGATGGCAATGTCTTATTTCTTGTACCAGTTGGTCATGGCTCCTCCTACGCATGGCAGACTGCAAACTCTGAAGCGCTGTCTTCGAATCACAGAATATGACCCATTTTCCTGGACGTTCTTGAACGAGATATTGTAAAGCAGCCCTTATAGCAGCAAGCTCTGATGCCGTAGATGTAGTCATATGTGACAACTTAAATTTGATTGTCATTTCTGCAGCCGGAATTACAGCGGCACTTGATGAGCTGCTGGATGAGACGGACCCATCAGTGTATATCTGCGTTCGGTCTAAGTACAACTCATGTAATAATAGCAGTGTTGCTTGCTTCAATGCTACTCTGGAGTGACTGCTTTTCTTTTTGATTCCCGGAATTTCTAGACGTACTTGCGGCTGGTCGAGGCACACAAAGGGCATGCCGTTCTCGCAGCTGGCGTATATCCTGATGGAATGCTGTTTAGGTGCTTGGCTATGACGTCTGAAAACGTAGCACGTGGTCTTCCGGAAGGTAGAAGGGCCAAGTGGTGGTCGGGGACACGGCTAGCATGTCGAATGTGCGCTCTGAGGCAATCCACAGCTATATATGTCCTGACCGGATGGTCTTTGGCAAGCATGATTGTGGCATAAGTAGAAGCGCATCGGGGCAGTCCTAGGCAGATACGCAGTGCCTGACCCTGCAAACTCTCCAATGAATGAGTATTCGATTTGCAAGTGTTAGTCAGTACCGGCAAGCTGTAGCGCAATAGACCCAGAAATAGGGCCCTGTACAGCTGTAGCATGGAGGCCACAGAAGTTCCCCATGCTTTACCGCACAAGAATTTCATGATATGCACAATAGATAGCAGTCTCTTCTTCAAGTACGCACAATGCGGGTTCCACGAAAGACTTCTGTCGATTATTATGCCCAGGAAACGATGCGTCCGTGCATATTTGACACTCTGCCCATTGATGTAAACAGGGTATGGCGTCATTGGTTTGCATGTAAACGCCATCAACGCGCACTTCACAGTTGATATATTTAGGCCTTGTTTCTGAAGGTAGGCTGTTGTGAGTGTTGCTGCCCGCTGTATTCGTGCACGCACCTGAGGGCGAGTAACTGCAGCACTCCAGAGGCAAATATCATCGGCGTATATGGATAGGCACACCGACTTTGGCAGAACCTTCACCAGACCAATGAGGGCCACATTGAACAATGTGGGGCTTAAAACACCTCCCTGAGGTACTCCGCAGTAGGTGTAATGTTGGACAGTTGTACCCTCATATGTTTGTACAAAGAAACCTCTGCCAGTTATATAATCTTTTATCCATTGAAACATTCGTCCACCAATGCCCATTGCTGCGAGAGAAGTGAGGATGGCATCGTGAGCTACATTATCATATGCACCCTTCACGTCAAGAAAGAGTGCCACTGATATGCGCTTGCGACTTTTTTCTTGTTGAACAAATGTCGACAAATCAAGGACACAGTCAATGGAGGAGCGGCCCCGACGAAAGCCTGCCATGCAAGAAGGGTATTTGGTGTATCGTTCCAAGTACCACTCGAGACGAAATAGAACCATCCTTTCCATCACTTTTCCGAGGCAGCTTGCGAGGGCAATAGGGCGATATGCTGACAAGTCCAATGGTGATTTTCCCGATTTCAAAAGTGGTATTAATCGACTAATTTTCCATTCTCGGGGAACACTGCCGCTGAGCCAGGAGTTGTTGAAGCATGTTAAAAGTTCTTTTCTAGCTTTTTGTCCAAGGTGTCCCAACGCACTATAAGTAATACCATCAGGACCTGGCGATGACATGCGCTTAGAAGCGACTAACGCACCTTCCAGTTCTTCCATGGTGAACGGAATGTCCATTTCTGGTAATCGCGTCTCAGGAACGATCACGGCGTCGATGCTCTCGTTCACAATATCCCGGCAACTCTCGTGCAAAATTCTTCAGCCACCTCGAGTTCTGTTTTTCCCTGATGGAGTGCCAAAGCTTTAAAAGGGTGCCGTTGTTGTGGAGAGGAGCGAAGACCACGAACTGTTCTCCAGATATAGACAGCGGTTTATGAGGGTCTAGAGATTCGCAGAATGCTTTCCAGCGTTCGCTCTCCAGTTTGTAAATGCGTCGTTGAATCTTTTTCTGGAGCCGCCTTGCTTCCTCAGATCGTAAATTGATCTTGTGCGTCTGTATCGTCGTTCTGCACGCCTTCGTATAGCTCGTAATTTTTCCAGTTCGATGTCAAACTGTGTAACTTTAGACGAAAATGGTAATTTACATTTGGACGCTTGCATAGCTTCCACTATGTAATTTCCAGGCTGCAGGCGAGGCCTTCTTGGCAAGCGTTCTCAACACGCGATGCAAACATCGACCAGTCAGTGCCAATTGCAACACCGGAAGAGAAATTTTTTACGATACCATCGATCGTCACGTAGGTGGGTATGTGATCACTCCCATGAGTCTCAATATCGCAAAACCACTTAACTTTGTGAGAGAAGCACCGTGACACCAATGTCAGGTCAAGGCAACTGCCATACGTGAGACCCCGCAGATATGTGGGGGTACCATCGTTCATGATGGAAAGGTCGTAATCGGAAGCGAATGTAACAATGTTCCGGCCCCTGGCATTCATCCTAGTGCTCCCCCAAAGCATGTGATGGGCGTTGAAGTCACCGGTTATGATCCAAGGCCCATCGGTTCTCATTAGGATGTCTTTTAATCTGTCGCAGTCAAATCGCGATGACGGAGATATATATCCACCAATAAGCGTGAACGAAACTGCATTCTTCTTCACACGAAGACACACGTACTGATTGTCGTCATTTGAAGTTATTGGGTGCGAAAGATAAGTCAAGTCTGTGCGAATGTAAATAATTACTTTGCTACGTTCTTCGCAAGCGGCTGAACAAAAAGCTTCATAACCGGACAATCTATAAGGCGTTGACACGTTTGGTTCACATATGACAAGTATAGGGAATTGATTGGCCCGAACAAATTGGCGCAAGTCCGAGATACGGGACTTCATGCCTCTGGCATTCCACTGAAAAATCGACGCACTTTTAACTTCAGTGCGGAAGTGGAGATTTTGTTGAGCCATTGTGCTTATACGAAGTTAGCAAGAACTGGATTCAGTGCATCCAGTATTTGCAGTGCACTCTTAGCAGACGGAGATTGTATGCTGCTCAGTAGCGTGCGAATCGTGGCAATTAATGATTGCACGATTGCAGCCACTTGCCTGTCTTGGTTGGAAAGATCTCGAACCGGGACGATTGCAGTCACTTGCCTGTCTTGGTTGGAAAGATCTCGAACCGGGAGCGTGGACTGGCCGTCATGAAGCTCCTTCGGTTCGCTTGATGCTGCTTCCCTTGGAAGTGCAGGCCACTCTGTCGCAGTCAGGGTATGCTCACTGGCTTTGTCCTTTACAGCCTTTCCCGCGGCATGTGGTCTGGGAGGCAAAGGAGGGGTACTGATGAGGGATCACGCAATCGTGTCGAGGAGGTAGCGGGCGTCCTCGAAGACCGACGCCGCGAAGATGCGCCGAGCGCATCTTCGGAAGGGGGCACTGTACAAGTCGTCGTTGAAACAATAACTCCCGAACTCTTCCAACACGCTAGTCTGAATCTGAATTTTCCACAATGTTAACTTGTTCGGACGAATGCGCGGATAAACGGGTGACAGTCACCCGCAATTAAAACGAAAAGGAGGTAAAGAGGGGGGCTGAAACTAAAATAATGTATAACACATTCTCTGTCTCATCCTATTCAGCGTATCTCGCACGATGAATGTACTTAACAAAAAAAGAACAAAGAGGAAGAAAGGCTCAAGCGGTGTTGAGCTTCTGTCTGATGTCCTCGCTAATACCTCGCAATAAGGACGTCGTCACCTGAATGGTCGAGAAACCGCGCATAACGAGGTGTTTTCCACTCCCAAGGATCGGCCACGTGCGGGACTCTTGCCGACCAAGGCTTCGCTATACACTAGAGCGTGTGTGCTGGGCAGGCAGGCAGGCGGAGTTCGTTATACACGGGGTTCACGACCGAAGCCGCGAATGACGGGCCGCATGGCGCGCTCCGTGTACGTGACCGTTCGCCGTAATGATCGTTTGCCTCGGCTGCAGCGGCGACGGGCGCTGCCCTCCTTTTAACGAAGGCGCCGAGGTTGGGAAAGAAAAAGCCAAGTGCCACCGCAGTCTTGGATTTTCTCCTTGACCGTTATGAAGAGCTCTTCGCCTTTACGCCCCTAAAGTGTGCGAAAAAGCATACCCCTTACACTCGCTCGTTTTTTTTTTTTTGTTTTTGTTTTTGAGCGAGGAAACGATTCAGTTGCAGTCACAGGGGAACATAAATTGAAGTGCTTAAAACGTTATTGGTATTTCACGCTGGTTTTGTTGGGTGTGCGAAAGGAGTAATGTAATTTTATCACGAGAAACACGTTTATTACGTGTGAATTTCGTCGTCGTCACTTTGCAGAGCAGCCTACCGATGGAGTGTGCAGCAGGCACAGTTAACTGCAGAGGTCTTTTAGTGGGTAGTACAATCTATATTCCTGTTTCTGTTGAACCGGCAAGTCGTGATGCCAGTCATGGTAGAATTAATGATTGATTGGTTGATAGATTGATTTATTGATCGATCGATCAAGCGCGCATGTGTGTGTGTGTGTGTGTGTGTTTCTTTAATCAATATAATTCATTCCTCCTTGCTAGGCATGCGTTTTTGCATCGTGTTAAGATCATCGAGCCTTGGCACTAGAGCTACCATGCTCAATTCTAGCTTTAAATACTTTTTATTAATACCTATTTATTAATTTACCAATGAGCATCATGTTACCACCACCACTTTTATCCTCTCGCGCCGTCGTTCACGCGCAGTCCCCATCCGCCTGTGCACAGGAAGCCGACTTCTGACAGACGCTGTGGACGATTTTTTGGAGCTCACGATCCTATTATTGACGCAATACTGAAGAAGCGCTAAAGAAAACAGGTAACACGAGGGGAAAAAAGGGATGGCAACACGAGCAGCTGTGTTGCAACCTGCTGCTGCGACTGTTCGATCCATTGATACAAGCGGAAATATTCAAAAGGCGTAAAATAATGAGCTCAGCAGCATCCCATTCATCTTTCATATTCCAACGTGCATAAATTTATAGAAAATGTTGTGCGCGTGGGGGCGCTCGCGAATTAATGTCACCTCTTACCATGCTTACATCGTTACTCAACAGTACCCACTCTTCACTCTTTGTGTTTTCCAGTGTTGTACCAGAAGCGTCTGAAGAAGGAACGCCGGTGTCGAAGACGCATCCAGGATCAGCTTGAGCTGGAACAGAAGAAGCGCTCTCAGTACGAAGAGGTTCTACGGAACAGCGCCACCGCCGACCACCGGTCACCGCCCGCGCAATCACTGCCGCAGCCACAGCCGACGCATGCGCAGGCAACGCAACAACTAACGCCACCTGGTGAGCTCACTATTCTCTTCTTACTTACTGACAACTGAGCTAACCGCCATGGTAGTTTCGTGGTTATAGTACTCGATTGGTGACCCGAAGGTTATGGAATCGAATCCCTGCCATGGCAGCCGCATTCGTTGGAATAATATTGCTAGAAGGCCGTGTGCTTTAATTCGGGTGCGCGTTAAGTCACCCCAGGTGGTCGAAATTTCCGGACCCCTCCACTACGGTACGTCTCATAATGGTATCGTTCTTTCGGAATGTAATATCCTAACAACTACTATAAGCTCACCGCAAATTCTAAAGCAGGGAGCCGACTTTTTATGCTGTAATATCATAAATACTTTAACTTTCAGTTGCCGTTAGATAATTTGTATTACGAGCCTTTTAAGAAAGTAATGATCTACGCGCATAGCCCTTGGTATGTAATGGCGAACCGACCACGCTTACTTAAGTGGATGTCAGCCTCAGCAGTCTCACACAAATGGCATTCAAACAAAGAAAAGGATGCGGAGGGAAAGGAGCTATTCTCTATTTCGCTATGAATTATTACAAAAAAAAAAAAACGATAGTATTCAACTATAATGTAACATCAAGGTGCGATTGGTATGTGCACTACCAACGTTAGTAGTTAGCCTCAAAATTCTTGGTTTGTTAACAGCGGGTGTCATGCATTGACAATTGTTTTATACCGACTGAATATTCCGGACGATATCGGCAAGCTGCGTATTCTGTATTAAGCAATCTTTATGGACGTGTGCGTGCACTTCTTATCAGTCCGAGGCTAATAAAAACCGAGTTACCAGCCTAAATTCAAAAGCAGATTTTTTTTTCTTGCCCGTGTACACGCAATGTATAAAAGCTACTTCAAGGCTAGGGATCCTCATTTTAGAAAGTAGCTAAACGCGCTCGCTTGTAGTTTACGGAATCGGTACATTTGAAACGGGGCGGAAATTGCCAACAGTGAGGTCACAATCAGTGGCATCTGGTGTAGACCGTGTAGGGCACCGTGTGTAGTGACCGTGTAAGCAGAAGCGTTTCCCAGGATAACCAACGTATGCCGTGTAACTACACCCTTCGCTGGCTTCTCAAGTGAACAATGGCAATCTCCTATTAAAAAAAACATAAAAATTGCCCGTCAAGTTTTCCGAGTTCACCGGTGCACAATCCTGCTGGCGAAATTTGTTTAAAATCATGCATTGAAGTGTGCTAGCAACCTTTAATCTTGACTTTGGCTACTACACGTGACCTAGCTTGCTGCAGGCATGGTCCTTTGCAGCGGCTACTCCTGTAGTTGATTCAGCTAACTCAGTTATATTTTGTATTTAATTAATGCCGTAGGGCACACAGCGCCCCTTGATCTTTCAGTGCAATGACAGTTGCCAGCTACTCGGTGTTTCGGCGTAGCGTGATATGTCAGTTTAAGGAAAGGGCCGCCAGCGACAGACTGCAGGCTTGTGGTATGGTTATTGTGCCAGGGGTTTCTCTTTATTACACGTCCTATGAAGGGTCAAAGGGTTATTTGTTACGTGATTTCAATTGGAGTCGAGCTGGTAATAATAATAGTTCATGCGGCTTAGCGTCCCAATATCACAGTATTCTTTAGATTTTTTTTTATTTTGCGCATACACAAATACATGCTTTGCCCGCGAGGTAAGGAAAATCAAGGACATAAACCTTCTTACAAGGCCTCACAACACTGGGGCAGCAGTGGCAAAGGATCTAGAAATAGTGATGTGAATGTGAGAGTCGACGAAGTGGAGAGCTCCGCGAATTTCGACCACCTGCGGTTTTTCAATTAACGTGCACCTAAGTATAAGTATACGTGCCTCAGGCATTTTCGCATCCATCGAAAATGTGGTCGCCGTGCCCAGGATTCGATCCCGCGACCTGGAGTCGAGTCGGTGTTCGTAAAACGCTCGCGTCGGGTTTCGACCAAACCTGCGTCTCAAGTGTTTCGCTCTTTCCTTTAGGTGGCATAGCCAGCACTTGACGGGAACCTTTATAACAGAGAATTTCCAGGCAGCGCATGCAAGGTTGAGATGGAAGGTGCGCAAACCACTCGTATACGCTGGCGTGTTGCCGTCGATTTCTCTTTCTCGGTGACTGCACTCGCTGATGCCTCCAGTCAACGAGGGTGGAAAGGAAGGTATAAAAAGTGGGGGGGATCCGGTAGTGCATTTCGCCAGTCGCAGAAGGGTGCGAGAGAATAGAAAGAAAGGGTCGGGCGTAACAGCTGTTCGTTTCCGAAGATCCATTAGCAAGATGCTTAAGGGGATATTAAAATACGCCTCCGTTTCCTTCTCGGCGTTCTCTACGCACGTTTTCTTTCACTTTCCTCGCGCATCTGCGTCATTGCCGTTTCCGCGACTTTGTTTCAGAGGAAGCCCCGGCAAGTGAGGGAGAATCATTTTTGCTTTTGCCTCGCCCCCCTCCCTTACTCTTCCTCGCTTCTTGCAACCTCGTTGCAAGCTCCGTTTAGTTTCGCAACCCCGAGAAAACGCGTTGCGTGTTTATGCGACTCAGTCTCCCACCCTTTCAGTCGGAAGAGAGCGGTAATTTGCGATGTGCGCGGGTCGCTAAGCATTTGCTTTCTACTTATCGGGCAGTCTTGAAAACGGCCCGGCCGCCTTTGATTCGTCATATTTGGACGTATGCTGTTACCGACAGTGTTTCTGTTGTGCTCTGTGCATTTACTAAGTGCCACGTGCTTTCTTGGATTGACTCCTTTGTTCGTGAAGAGTCTTTTGTTTTTTCGCAAGGGCATAAATTTATTTAAGGAATCGATTCGCAAACCAAACTGCTGATAGAGTATCAACGTACGTTTGGCAAGGGTGACGAGCTGTACAGTTTACACACCAGAAACTAGTGCTTGTTGTCCTATGAGGTGCGCTCCAAGCCGATTCTACCCTTACCTCTTGATGTTTGAAAAACGTGCCTAAGAAAAGTCAGTTTAGGCTTTTTAAAAGCGTTTTTACCTGGCGCGGAGACAATACCCACCACCATGCAGAAAACTAAGCAGACCTCAGGCTCTTAAACTCGGGCTTCTTTCTTCAAGTTAGGGCGTCCCCTAACCCCGCGCTACAGCACAGGATTTATCCCAAAATACAGCCATCTAATACATGCTCGTTCTGCAATGATGTAGCTAATTTACAGCGCATGCTCTGGTGGCGCCCCGCGTCACGCTGTGGTAAAGTCGTTACGCCGTCCAAATGGGATTGTGCTATGGCCAGCTCCGGACTCGAACAACAGTTATGTGCAGCCTGACGGGTCCGCCACGCAGCAGAAAAACTTGGTCATTCTGTCCCACGTCAGAGAGGCCCGCACCGTGCCGAAACGCGTTCCGAAGGACATAATAAAGTTCATCCATCCATTCATCCATCTAGACAATGTATGCAGATAAATTAACATTTTCTTGTGTGTTTTCTTCGGGAACAATGGCGTGACTAAAACAAAAATTTTACACGCTTAGCGTACGTACAATAAGATAGCTTCAAACTTGAGGGTTCTAAGATTACGTTGAAAAGCGCTACTCACACGAAGATCTGAAAAAAAAAAAGTCGATAGCGCAGTAAATTAGATCAATATTTGCTATAAAAGACTTATTAGGCATTGCAAGTAAATGTGATTGGGAAGTTAACGTGACAGTAATCGGGAACCGTTTCATTTTGACACTTCACTCCTCTTCTCTCTAACTTTTATTTCCTTGCCCAGTGCATATAGTAGCTTACTGGTATCAGCTATGGTTGGCATCTTTGCCTTTTTTTCATCCTTATTTTCTTGACACTTCGCTTAGTCAAAGGCATACTAAATGAAGACACCTTCCGTTCATTAGCCCCCCCCCCCCGCCTCCTCATATTAATTCACTGATTTAAAAGCCTCAGAAGAGCACAATGATGTCCAACCCAAATCAATAACAGATGTCATTTGCAGCACCTCCAATCCATGAAGGGTCGAGAAAGCAACGCGCTTCACTTATCAACCTTCATCCTTGCCCCAAATGCACGTGTTCGAACCTAAGCCAGAATAAGTGTTAGGAAGTCGGCGGCTCAAAGTTAAGGATTGCGTTCTGAAGCCAAGGAAATGTCGTTATCACTTTTTGTCTTCTCTCTGGCTCATTTCCAATTCAACTTCAGTCACAGTTTCCCCTTTGCAGTCCTCGTTTCTCGTTTCTTTTTTTTTATTATTGCTCATTTATTTTTCTGTTGTTTCTCTATTTTCTTTTGCTTACTTTTTTTTCTGAGCTCCCACCGCAAATGTCGAGGCGGTGGCTTTGACGACGACTGCTTCGACATCTTGTTCACTTGAATCCGGCCCAGTGGGATGACGGAACATTTGCATGGGAGGGTTCCGATCGTTTTCCTCCCGAACGGATTGAAGCTCGTTTAAATAAGGGATATCCTCTTCTTCCCTTTGCGCCCAGAACGCCGGTGAATGAACACTTTTGTGTTCCTTTCTGTGTGGAATGCTTTTTTCTGTTCGAATGGTTCTATGTTCAGTTCCCTTTACTCCCAGACTCAACCCGTATACTTGCTATCTCATTCTGTTCTATCGGTTATTGCAAATTCTTTTTATGTTTGGGCTTCTCTCGTCCGTTTAGTTTTCTAAGTTGGGTAAATGTTCTTCCAGAGGTTGCCCCCGGTGGCGACATGTGGGGCGACAGCTGTTTTTCTTCGCATGCAGCTAACGACTCGCCCATATTTGTGTATTTTCCCCTCAGTACTTTCGTTTTGTTTGTGTTCCAAAAAACAATAAATAATAGGAAGAATGCGACGCATTGGCTGTGCTTTTCATATTGTTTTTACGTAGTTGTTAAATTTTGCTGCCTTGCATGCTGAAATGGATATGGCGTGTAAGAAAGCGTCGACAGCTGTTTCGCTGTGTCGTCGCTCGAACTACAAGAGTCGGTATTCGCTTTAGAAACGTACACTTGCACTGTGGTGCGTGCTCTTGGCATAAACAAACTTCAAAAAGAAAAAAAAATAGAATAAAGCTTACCTCATCTATGCATCGTTTTATGTTTCGGTAAAAAGTACTTCCTTTCATTTAAAGTCGTCATATGTAAGTCTTTCTCGTTTCCTACTTTCGAAAAGTAAAAGCAGTTGAATATTTTTTCACTTTTATGCGTTCATCACATCAGTGGAGCTTTCTGAGAAACCCATTGTTTACATTAAAAACAAAGACCGTCTAAAATGTAAGTGGTATGGGCATTTAGGTGTAAAAAGAAGAAAGTGACTGCTTACAGTTCTGGAAGCGCCTGTTGCATCCGATGGTTGTGACTTCACGTGTCGCACAAATAGGCTCACATGTGCACGTGCGCACTGGCGTGCACATTTGCAGGCGCACACAATGAAGACGCGATTTCGTGCACAGGACACACATAGAACATTGACAAGATAGTTAAGGCACAACTCAAGGCCAAGAGTTAAGGACATGAAGTTTGTCACGTGAACATACACCCGCAAGTAATAATAACTTCGTTAGGTAGTCGAAAGAGAGCGCCATTAAGTATCTTGTTGAAGAATCTGTTAACTGGCCATCGAAGAGGCTTTCCGAGTCCTCAACGTCGTTTCTGTACAAGAGTCCACTTTTTCTTCTTTCCTACAGAACGAGTGCCATCGCCAGACATGGATCCAGAGCGTCACAGCAGACAAGAATCCGAAAAGAAAGGTCTGTGCGTTTTCCCAGCTTTTCATAAAGTCTGCGTGAGCTCTGACGCTATTGCTTCCAGTTTGTATCCGTGGTTTTTGTATTGCCCCGCTGCGGGGGTCTGGTGGCTAAGGTATATACTCGGCTGCTGACCCGCAGGTCGCAGGATCCAATCTTGGCTGTGGCGGCTGCATTTACAATGAAGGCAAACATGCCGTACGCCCATGTTCTCAGATTTGGGTACACCCTAGGTGGTTGAAATTTCCGGATGTCTCCACGATGATGCTTCTAATAATCATATGGTGGTTTTTGAACGGTAAACCCCACATATCAATCAATCAATCAATCAATCAATCAATCAATCAATCAATCAATCAATCAATCAATCAATCAATTATTCAATCAAATTAATTATAATCATATTGCCACGTTCCTTTTCTTAATTTTTGTTATCGCCCCGATACACTACACACAATTCTCAGCGCAAACCTCGCCTGCAGTTTTCGAGAAGCTTCAGGACTGTAGTATATCATTTCGATAAGATCACGCCCACTCCGCGAACTGCACTGGTTATTCTGGAACCTACGTCACCGCTAGAGATAACGCTAGAACATTCGGTGGCAACTGTATATATGCCGACGAGCTTCGCCGCTTGTCAGTTAATCGACGGCCGACGCTGCATGCGCCGCTGTCAGTGCAAGTGTGCTACCGTAACCCAACTTTCCGTTTAGCGGACACAGGTTCGCCCAAAGAAAGTTTGATCTGACCATTCCGTTTCCTGCCTTCAACCACGTCACGACCCCGTGACATTATGGCGGTTTCAGGATGTTAAACCCCACATATCAATAAATCAATCAATCAATCAATCAATCAATCAACCATTCAATCAATCAATCAATCAGTCAATCAATCAATCAAGCTGTCTTACTTGTCCCTATGCTTGTCTCCTACTGCGCTGGAACCTGGAGGCTTACGAATATGGTTCGAATTAACTTGAGGCCGATGCGGTGAGCTGTGTAAAGGAAAATGATAGGTGTATCTTAAAGACGGGGGGAAGAGAGCAGAGTGGGTCACGAAACAAAGGGCATCTTAGTACAAAGCTAGAAGAAATGGGCATGGGCAGGGCATATAGTGCGAAAGCAAGATAACCGCTGGTCATTAATAGTTACAGTCTAGATTCCAAGAAAATGCAAGCGCGTGAGGACTAGGCGGAGTGTTGGGTGGACAGATGGGATTACGAACTTTGCGGGGATAACGTGGCTGCAGCAGGCATGCAGGGTTGACTGGCGGAACATGGAAGATGCCTTTGCCTTGCAGTGGGCGTAGTCAGGATGCTACTGCTGCTGCTGATGATGAGGAGGAGGAGGTGGGGGAGAAAGAGGAGGATTGTGATGGGCTGCTTTTTAATGCGCTCGCATTTCACTGCTTTCAACTTACGTTTCTGAGAGCCAGTGTGGCACACTTTTCACACAGCACGAAGTCCTTCTGCTCATGCTCACGAGTATCTCTTCCTACTTGTTCCTTGATACATACTGATAAATGGGGGCTTATAGCTTCAAGCAAGAAATGCGCCCACAGATGAGGTGCAATGTCAGCCCCTCACCAGTAAACATACCCTATTACCAGTCAGTTATTAAAAACAACTTCTGAGAGAAAACTAAGAGAAACCGAGAAGGTAGGAAATGAAATGAAATAGAATAACTTTTTCAAGATGGCAAGGTACTGTTACATCTTGCGATATTGCACAGAGGGGGGGTGGGTGGGTCAAGTGATAATTAAAATAAGAAGACAAAAATGCACTGCGGTACTGAAGAAAAAAAATGAACATAAGTGCTCAGCAACGTCACAGCCTCCAACAGCCTCACAGGGGGAGCAATATTACAACTAGGTCAGCCCACGAAGTGCTCACACTTCTGCACTGTGATTCCGCAATTTCATGTGCTTCAATCAACGTACGCAAGCAATAATTTCCACTCGCACCTCGGCAGTCAACCGTATAGGCGTCAACGGATGATTCCTCCTTTCGCTTGTACATACCTTGTGTTGACATTATTAAGCGGGCGTAGTGTACGGATAGTGATCTAAACTTCTCTCAAGCGGGACGCTGGTGCATGGGCCCAGACGGCCGCACAACTACGCGAAGTTGTGCGGCCACTTATAACGGGTCATCCAATAGCGCAAGGGAACGACGCTGAGGTTCACACGAGGCGAGGCCTAAAAGCTCGCCGTTTACGACGAGCAAAACCGTGTGAGCAAAGCGAGCAACGTCCGGACATTATGGACGCTCGGCTTTGCTTTTACGCGTGCTTTAGCTACCTGGCTTGCGCTTTTGTACCTTTGCCGACGCTCGGCGCGACGAGCGCGTTGTATGGTTCAGAAGGGGCGGGACTCATAGCAGCGCCAGCGCTGGTCCCAGCTCGGTGCGGGAATCTAATTAGCGGCGCCAACAGTTAATCAAAGGAGAGCGCCGTATATTCAGGAGCGCCCCGTACAAGCAGCGCGTCTTCCCACGCGACCCTTGCTTGCCAAGCGACCCCGTTGTTCCCAGGCACCCCTCCTGTGGCCAGTCACAGATGCTACTGCTGCTTTATGGTGGTTCACAAATTCCCCTGCTTGAGAGCCCGTCCCGTTGTTCTACTTGCTTTATCCTGTTTTTTTTTTCAATTTTGTGAGATTAATTTCGTCTTCGCTTATTTTGTATCTTATGATGAACCAGGACATGCGGGTGACGGATTCTTTATTGGACGCTTTTTTGTTGATGTTGCTTGAGCGTTTGTGCAAACTCTCTCTACTCTGTTCAGCCCGCCGTAATATTTTTGTGCCCAGTCGACATGGTGAGACACTCTGAAATAAGACTAGGTGGTGTCATTCATTTCATAAAACAGTGGGGCCGATATGACGTTTTTCTCAAAAGACTATAAGTAAAAAAATTCTACGCCTTACATCGGACTCGCAATTGGGGCACTGCAAATTGATTTATTACACAAAAAAAAAAACGGACATGGTAACAGCTAACTCATCGAAGCAGTGTTTACGTTGAGGTGTAGCTGTTTGTCACACGCCTCTCCATGGCTATACGAAATGCACGAAACCTCAGCTGTCCGCGGGCGCTTCACAAAAGTTAGCCTCGACACTTAGCGCTTGATGCGACGCTATGCATTTCGCCCACAAGTTTTCGACGAATCTCGCTTCCAAAACAGGGGTTCCAGCACTTTTGCTTCCTGAGTACGACACAAGCGGCGTTTGCTTATAACACCTCCTCGGGAGTACCTTGACACCCACCTCTCATCTTCCCACCCTGTAAACAGAACGATACACGAGACCTTCATGCTGCTTTCCTTCCCCCAAACTTCGGCCCCCCACTTGCTCGGCGCCGCAATGCGGCATCATCGGGCACCACCGGGGGGGATGGTAAAGCGCGCCGCTAAAAGCGGCTTTGGTCCCGATGCCGTCCCGCAAACTGCTTTATGAATAAACATGAACTTCTTTCGCGCTCCGAGCCCATCGGCGCTAAGCTCCTGCGCCAGTATCGCCGCAGTTTAGGCATCGTCCGCTCGCTCCGGCTTCTGCGCGCGTTGGCGAGAGCCGTCAACAAAAACAAGTGAGTCAACAAGTCCGCGAGCAGCGCGCATCGCATCACCCGCCGTTGCGCCGTCGCAGCGCTAGCCGGCCTTGTTTATCGAGCAGTCACCGGCCGTTTGTCGCGCTCAACTTCCCCCATCACCCCCGATCTAGTATACACACATTCACGCACACTCTTGTTTGCCCAGGTCCTGTGCGAAAGCCCGGTCACGCAAGCACGCGCGGTATATGTTCTCTTGCTGCGCACACGCTCGCGTTTTTGTCTCTTGAGAGCGCGACGCCCCAAATGGCGCGGATGCGCCGTTGCATGCGCTCGTGATGGATTCGAAGACGTGCCGATATGCAAATGCTATATAGGCGCGACGCAGCGGCGGGGAGGACGTATCACCCGGACCAATCTCTGGAATAATTGGCCGCGCTTATCGCCGCTGTTCACGTCGCCAAAAACTCTCGCCACCGCGTGCGTCTCGCGGGAAGCTACGGTAAAACAAAGAGGTTCGACGACGAAAGAAAGAAACTCCGAGTTGGTCTTCTCCTCTCGTTACGCCCGAGGCACTCCTGGCATGAACGATGACGAGGTGCGTTTTTACCTGGCGTTATAGGCCGTGTTATTAGCGCGCCCCGGATATATGGGCAGCTATAGCCATGGCTGTTTTGAGACGAGCCCACATCTGCGAACCTGCCATCTCGAACGTAGAACGCTATAGCATGCCGATACGTTATGCGAAGGAGGCATTATGGTGCGCTATACGCTTTTGTTTGCCACACCGAGCGACCGTTCTCTCTTGCTGCTTCGGGAAACTTGTGTTTGAAGGGCACGTCTTTGTCAGCACATTTTGTCGCACGCAAGTTTTAACAATTTCCCGTGAGAAAGAATTGACATGGAATGTTCCACCCGTCGTGTGGCGTCGCTTCCCTGAACGTCATTCGCCTTGTGTTCATCTCTCTCTCTCTCACTTTGTTTCTTTCTTTCTGCTCGTTATTTCCTTTTTTTCTTTTTTCAGCGAGTAAATTTTTTAACGAATATTCTTATCGCTAGGACTTTTGACACCCTCAGTATCGTTTTCTTGGTGCGTTCACCTTTGAACAATGTGTCCTGTCATGCTCGAAACCTTAGTTTGGGAGTGGGTACGATGAGCGCAGCATTTTTGTTGCAGATAGCTACAGCCGCTTCAAGCAACACCATGTAACAGTGTCTTTAGAGGGCCTGTCACGTGATGTTTTACAAAACTGTGACTCGTACAAAAGAAATATATTGGGGATTAAAGAGCCGCCTTTTAGGAAGGCCATTCTACGATGGGGTAACAAAATTACTGAAGAAAACATGCACATTAAGAGACAGAGAAAAAAAAGCTTCATTAAAACTTACTTTTTTGTCACTACTTGGTCAAAGGAAGTGGGGCAAGGGGTGAGTGATGGTAGACTTGCCTCTGCGGAGC